AACCTATGTAGTATAGATGCTTAAGCTTGTAATATCCACTGTATACTACAGAACATTATATTACTACTATGAAATCTTATTTCCTTTTATACTGTTTTAACTTGTATAGAAATTAATCAAATTCAGAACCAATTTTCTCATGTTTAACAAGTTTATAAACTTACATATCACGGGTAGATAGACTTAACTGATAAACAGGTCTGTACAATAACGTTGATGTGTATGTACCTTAACAGCAATATGTGTACGATTTCATGATTTCCTCACAGAATTGACTTGTATTTTATTCATTTTGTAATTCCACCTGACAAAGAGCTGGAAAGCTTGTGTGTTAATAAAACCTTGACTTTTTTAATTTTAGAAACTCAAATTTTCTCATTTTATTTGAAATGTTTACTTCAAAGTGTTTACATGTTATGTATCAAAAACAATTTCTTTTACAATAAACACTTGCAGGTTCTGGTTATAATGTGCATTTCTACTAGAGGTCAAGACAATGAAAAACATACAAATAAAGCAACAAAAATCTTAACTTAAATTATTAAGAAATTAAAGTTTGTTGTCTATTAAGCTATATGTGTACCTAACAAATGCTTTTCCCTCATTCCTAACAAAAGTATGTCAACATCGTATGCCACTTGTTTAAGAGTAGGCTGCTTCGTATTATAACTGGATGGTTAACTCAATCAATCAATTCCATATGAGAATCAAATACATCAATTAGTGTCATGTAAAACACTATTTAATCAAAAGTAAGATTAAATAGATTACTGTCAGGAAATAATCAACCAATCAAAATTTGTGTTTCAATTTATCAATGTCTTGTATTATTCCAAGAATCCAAGCTTTATGAGAATAATCAATTAGTTGAATGCAATCCATTAAAGAGACCTCCAAATTATTATTTAATTATTATTTAATTGCTGAGCTCTATTTCATATTTTCAGTATACTGAATTATACAAAACAAATCACTATAAAATATAAACAAATATCCCTATAATTTGATACAACGAGAAATGATCAAAACATGGTAAAATACGCTTGTTAACAAAAACATAGTAACAAAATATATAGACAACAAAGAGCCATTTGCTCCTTTAGCCTTGTCCTTACACACCTACCCCGAAGAAAGTCGAAATTTAAAAGCATCTTTTATTTAGGAAATCACCAATTGCCCTTTTAAACTTCTGTAAAGTGTCAGCCTCCATTACTGCTGACAGTAACTCATTCTATAAGTTAATCACCGTGTTAGAAAACTAAAACTAGCTGAAACCGAGACTCCTTTCCAAATCTTAAAACTGTGTCTTCCCATCCTATTATCTTTAGAATACAGAACAAAAATCAAAGACTTTTATCTTACTGATCCTCTGGATAATCTTGTAATCTTTAATAAGATCATCTCTTAACCTTACTGATCTTCTGGATAATCTTGTAATCTTTAATAAGATAATCTCTTAACCTTCTAAAGAGAAAATAAAAAAATAATTCAAGAAACTTTAACCAATTTCTATACGATAACCCTTCCATCCTTAAAATCATCCAAGTAACCCTCCTCTGTACCCTTCCCAATAAGTCAATATCCTTCTACAAATAAAGAAACCAAAACTGGTCTTTCCTTAGTACAAACTGATGTTTTGAATTTAAAAAAAAAAAGAGCAAGAGACACAAATAAGAAACACAAGTCGCTTTACACAAAAGAAATACATGTCTATCATTTAAAGAAAAACAGTATTGGTTTAAACGGATATAAATAATACCTCACTAAAAAAAAATCATACAAATAATACTGATTTACTGAGAAGAAATGTTACGACAAAAGAAGAATGAGGACTATTTCATGAATCTTATGCTACTTTGATAAAAAAATTAATAAAAGAACAAAAAGAATGAGGACTATTTCATGAATCTTATGCTACTTTGATAAAAAAAATTAATAAAAGAACAAAAACCAAAAATCTTAATGAAGAATTATAATATTTTAGGAAGACTACATTAGGCAGCATTTGGTTACATGTTTCAATGAATTGCATTTCAATATTAATTATTTCATGCAGATGTGTTTAATCAAGGTTTACTGTACACTTTGACATTATAATGTGCTAGAACAAGGGCTATAACTACCATGTAAAACATTTAGCAGTAACTAAAACCAATCAATTTAAAATCTTTGGATATTTTTATAATGTATTTTAATCATTTAATTGTTCATAGTTAAGAAATAAGAATGTTTTATAAAATATTGTTTGCATTACATGTCAAATACTGACTATTGAGTCTTTCAATAATTAATGTAGCTTACTGCAAGTAGAGTTGTTATTATTGCAACATATCAATGTAATAAACATGTACCATGAACTTTCAAGAATTATTAAAATGTATAGATGTACAATGTATAATACTAACCTACTAAAGAGGGCAAATGTCTATTACACAATACACACACACACACATCTCAGTGCACTGTAAACCTGTCTTTTCTTTAGAACATTAACGTAAAAACATCAGAAGAAATGTGGTAACAGACGGATAGCCGGCAAAACAAAGTCAACCCCTGATCCACAAGAAAACAAAAGTAACAAGCATTGAATCACAAAACTTAACTGATATTATAAATCAACAATTTATTACTATTGTCAAGTTATATCAAGTATAAAATAAATGTGAACAGGAAATGGCATTACTTCACAAAGTGCAATTTGAAAGAAACCCAATAACACAACATGTACCTGTACAATCTGCTGATAAAAAAAAATCACTTTACATGTAAGAATAACCCCGATGGATGCCATATACATCTCAAACATATTGATTAGGTGATGAAATAGCACAAAAAAACATCATCAAATATTACTGCTGTAAAGTAAGAAATTTCAAATAAATTTGAAAAATCTGATAAAAGGCAAAACAGTCCTTGCTATACTATAAGCCTTTTTTTTTCAAGTATTTATTCTGTAATACACATTAAAGGAATATAAAAAGATAAACATTCATATAATTGATGCTGAAAAAGCATCAACTTTCTATTTTGTTAGCTTCTTTTTTTTTTGCACCAAATATTATCCCCAGTACAAACACGTGTATCCAAAAGGTGTAGTATTTCAGAATTTATTTGTTTTCAATACAGAATACAAATACCAAGAACATGATTTAATGTTTTTTTACTGTACTGCAAGCAATAATACATTATTGTTATTGGTCTGACTTTTAATTCATTATTATTTATTCATGAATGATGTAAATTAACAATTATATCAAAAATAACATCTCTAAGGTGTACAGTTCAAGTATTCCTTTTATAAACTCTTAAATTTCCATGTTGCAATTTCATTAATAATGCTATGGCTTCAAACTGTGGCTATGACAAACAATTAAAGTCATAAAAATATTGTATGTGTAAATACAGGTATCAAATACATATGTATATATACATATGCACAAACACCATGCATATACAAACAACACGTAAGAAACACTGTAAAGTAAAAACACTATTAAGTCTTGGAATATTAACACATTTTTCACTAATTTCTTCTTCTGAGCCACATTTTGCCAGCAAAGAACAAATAATTAGTCCACCAATAGCCAGCAAAAAATTATAAAAAATATCAAAAGAAATAAAAGAAGAAAAAAAAAAGTCATTTAAAAATGTTTGTAATGATACGCCATTAAATGTTAGAATGTTCTGTTATTAAGGTTTTAAAACTTCAAGTACTATTCATATTGTGAAACTTGCTCAATATTTCAAAATTACTTTACTTACTTATTAAATTGCTTAAAAATTTGCAGAATAAAATAATTCTGGCCCACCTACTCCTGCTTTCTTACAAGCTGTCTATCTCTAATTAAAAAAAAATATAGTTGCAAAGCCCTGTTTTTGAATATCACCAAAACAATATGCCTACTCCCACCTTAAATGCTTTTCTCTAAATAAAAAACCAGTTTTAACAACAATGTTACAGCATTCTCTAATTAAAAGAAGTTTCAAAAATATAGTTAACATTCCTATTTATTCTAAAGGTATTAAACAGACACGAGGTTCATATGATAAAAAAACTTTAGATATGAATGTTAATTAAGTAATATTATGCGCAATATGTGAAAAAACCTAATTTTTCATTAAATACATGACAATTTTATCCAATGGACAAAAGGTGCATGTTGCAAGTATAATAATAATAAACCATTTTTTAAATAAATATATTTTTTTTTCCTTATTGTTTCATCACTAATAAATTCAGTTTATCAAAATGTAAGGTATTTTCTTTAAAGCATGGGAAAGCAAGGGGAATTCACTAATTTCTACTTCATTAAGGACCCACCAATACCTTAACACAGCACTGATTAAATATTACATTTTTACAAGGCACTGACCAAAAATAAGCTCATGTTAGCATAACAATTAACAAAAGATGTAGTAGTGTGGTTATGCATTTTTAACCAAAATGTATTAAAAATAGCATACAATTACTACAAGACATGGAGGAAATAAACTTTATTATAATTATAAAGAAATATTTAACCTCTCCCTTCAAAATTAGTTGTATTCTCCTTTTAGTTTTAACTTTTAAAAAAGCGTTTCCAACCTACATCATGTGCATGCATGACTATGATTACTTTACGTTAGGTCCAAAACTACTATACTAACCAATAGTAGTACTAATCTTCAACTTAGTATTGTTAAATTTATAAATACATCATCATTATTACTAATATTAGTAAAATAAAAACAAATAACGCTACTCATGTTATAATGGACTTTCTTTCATTGCACATTTTAATTAGAATTCGCCATACACTGAGTATGCTTATCAAACCAGGCCAAAAATCGTACAACATATCGCATGGTTATAACACAAATAAAATTTCTACTTGGGTTCCATAACTTAAGGCATAACGCGATAGTCTACCCGTTTCACTGAGTACGAGGGTACAAAAGAACGTACAATTTCAAAACAACGGAAATAAAGTGATTAGTTCTTAACATTTTCAAAAGGATACAGTTTTATAACATCTGTGTCCATTCGTCGCTTCCCAGCACTTGGAGAGGACATCATTTGCTATCATCAAGAAAAAGTAGGAAGAACGAAAATCCCAACTTTTTATCCTAGAAGTGTAACGTCACAATACAACAACTACTTCTATTCAGATCACAAACTTGACATCCAAAACCTCAACTGATGATATCACCCAATACGAGCAGAATGCATTGAGTAATGACATCATGTCACGTGACATTGTGATTTACATATCTCTGTAGTGATTACCCTGCAAGATGATAACAAAAGTAATACCATGTATTTTTCAATATTTCTGCATATTAATATTTAAAACGTAATAATTTTGATCTTAAATATCTATCTAAAATAAATTAAAATAATCTTTTATACTTAAAAGACGGGCTGGAATCAGATCACGTGACTCACATTGTCACGCTCTCAGAACATCAGCTGGCCGTTGTAAACAAACAATCTGTATATATATCTATATATAAGGTTCAAACATTGAAAGGGAATTTCCAAATGGTTTATTTTACATTTTAGTATTCTGAATTATATAATAAGGTTATGACAAACAATATATATTGGGAAATTATATTAACATGTGTTCAATATAATTTGTATGTCACTGAAAGTATTTTATTATTTTCTTTAGTGTAGGTACCACATTTTAAATTTATCCAATATATATATATATAATTATAAACCACAACTGCAATCACTTCGTTTTCTACGTTTAACTCTCGGTGTACTTAAATGCTAGAACTGACCAGTGACATCTGTTTGAAAATATTTGCTTGCAGAGGGACAGCAAGAAAAGTGAAACTAACACAAGTGTGCGACAAATAAATATTTTCCTTTCTTATACAAATAGTCATTGGTGTTTTTTCTTCCACCTAAAACAGTCATCCTGACCAGTCTTTATAATCCTGCTTTCCACTAAATTTAGCTACTGAAGCATAGAAAATATACCTCTTATCTCCACGACACAAAAAAAGGATTGTACCTAACCCATATATTCAAGTGTGGTATCCCATAGTCCTAGATTCATTACTATCATTCTCACTGATATTCAAGAGAAAATTATTTCCAAGCACATATCAGTTTGTACAAACCTCTGTACCACCATTCTTTCATTTGTGTATGATATACATCCTGAGAAAGAGGCAATACAGAAATTTAGCCAAGAGAGTTCAAGCTCTCATGAATGGCCACATTAGGATGTATCCATAGCTTTAGTTGATAATTAAAGCAAGATCACAATCACCTACATCCTGTTCACAACAGCGTTAACTAAGTATAGTACAGAGATAGAAATGAAATAAAATATTCCTGAATATATATGAATAACAATATATATCGTTATTCTAATTACAGAAGGACATGTTCTAGCACGTGTCAACTTCTACCCATTTTTTAAACAGAGAAACGTTCACATAGTCAAAAACTATTGTTTTTTGTCTGTTTGTTTTTGTCGTCAGTTATCTAAATTAGTTTTGACTTTGATACAACCCATTATTTATTTTGGGGCGGCATTTTTTATGTTTATTACAACGTTGCATATATGCAAACCTACATACTGATAGCGTTTGAAATAATTATGGAAGTGGTGAGAAAAATATATATAAGACAAATGCTATAATAATGTCTCTCCTCTATTGTGCGAAAGTGAACTTGGTCAGAGTGCAGGCACATTTTGATAGTTTATACTATCATTGGTTGCCATCCAACCAATCAGAAAGTGCCACATCAGTATAAAGATTATAAAAGCGCAGGCAGTCGTACGTTGTTCAGTAATATTAGTAGTAGTAGTGTGAATCCAGTCATGGCTCCCAGGACTGGAATAACGCATGATAAGGGTGTAGAAATTAAGATTTTGGTTTCGCTAGTCGAGGATACTACATTCGAAAAAGATTCCATATTTCGGTAACAGCTGTATGTAACACTCTGAAAAGTGTGCATGTTGATTATCCCACTACAGAATGTCTCGGTTAACATGGACTGTGGAACAAGTGATCTCCATCTCTTTAGTAAACCAATTTAATGCCAACTTGTTAGAGCCAAAAAATAGTGTATTACACGATTACGTTCAGAGAAGAGAACCACGATACTTTTGAACTAACAAATGATGTTCCATGATGTTATTTACAGTCAGTATGATGTAGTGTCACTATCTGCTATTCGGGAAATATACTGCTTTCCGTTCAGAAATAAGATGTACTTACTCAGACGGGTATTTCTTATCTCCCCGAGTGTCAGTTTTCTGCCAACGATGATTTGTATTTATGAACATATGGCTGTTTATCTTCTAGGTTGTTTACCAGGCTGACAAAGTAAAATGGCAGAAATAACTGAATCTGGATGTATCAGTAAGCGTCCAAAAATGTACAACTGCAAGGATATCTGGGGTCACTGACTGCAGATAACGTGAACTTTGAATATGAACGAGAACTGCGTAGATTACTGGTCAGATTGGAAAATGTTGTATTTGTAGGGGTAGGATGGCTGACTGGGTAGAATAACTATCATTCATCATCACATAGGCACAGATGCAAACGTTCGATAAAACGACACTTCTGCACGTTTACTTGCTGTACCAGGGAAACAACTGCTGAAATAGAGTGGCACAGATGCAAACGTTCGATAAAACGACACTTCTGCACGTTTACTTGCTGTACCAGGGAAACAACTGCTGAAATAGAGTGGCACAGATGCAAACGTTCGATAAAACGACACTTCTGCACGTTTACTTGCTGTACCAGGGAAACACCCGCTGAAATGAAGTGGGTATTCATGGATGGAATAACACAGTGTTCAGAAAGTATATGATTGTATCAAGTTGTGATTAGGAGGAAGGAAGAGGGGATGCCAAGGGTTAAATGGACTTCAGGTGGAAGGAAGTGGTCATTCACGTGAATACCTTTCTTCAAGAACAGATGAATGCCTGGATGCAATATAATGTCTCATTGGTTCAACACACTGGACCTTGATTAAGCTAGTTTGAAATTGAAGCCAAGGTAGTATGCGCTTATGCATATGCAAGTTATGGATTGCCTCAGCCTATGACCTAAATAGAAGTCCACCACTTTGTACCTATTCATCAACGTATTGTTGCCAGCTTATCCAAGATAGTTGCATTCTTGTTTTTTTTCTATCTTCGAGGCCGTCATGGCCAGGTGGTTAGGGCGCACGACTCGCAATCTGAGGGTCGCACGTTCGAATCCCCGTTCCATCAAAACATGCTCGCCCTTTTAGCCGT